GCCGATATTCATACAGGCGACATTGAAAACTATTGTGGCGTGCCTAAGACAATCGACGGCCGTCGCAAGAAGCGACCGTGTTCGCTCCGATTGCACAGGAGAGACAGGGAGAGAGAATCATACATGGGTGCGCGTCCGAGTTGAAAAGTGCTTCGCGAAAGAAATCGAGACTTTATAGAAGAAGCTCCGAAGGTACACAACCAGGAAGAAGGTTGGTCAATGATGGGCTGTTAGATATTGATGAAAGGTCGGCTAGTGATAGTCGTTGGATGTTGGATGTTGTGTGTATATTTGCTATTCGTCAAAACTGAACGCTGAGAGCATCAACTACTGTACATTCATGACGCCATCAAGGTCGAAGTAAGAATAAATTACATTAAAATCGATGTTAAAGTCTATTTTACCGTCTTAGCTCCTACTTTGTTGTAGAATTAAAAGCTCAACATTGGCCCGAGATTTCGACTCAGACATATAGTTTATGTATATACAGGGTGAGGAAAAACGAGTATTACCTCCCTGCTTGAATATCCGCGAAAAATAAAGATGTCTCACTCACGACTAGATGAAGATGAAAAACATTTACAGAGGGTGTTCGAGCTGATGACCATTGGCATCGGTCCAATTTCGGTCAGATGAATTTTTCTCTCGTGTTCCGAAGATATTCAAAACGGTGATATCTCTAAGTTATACGTCTCTCCCTGCAGCATAGTAACGCCGAAAGGAACTTCGCGAAAGTTCAATTTCGTTTACGCGACGCCGTAACTCACATCGGACGCTCGTGAGCGAACAGCAGAACAGTTTCTCTTTGTGTCTTTCTTCCCCCCCCCCCCCTCTCTCTCACTCGTCCGTTTTAACCTATTTACGTGTATACAGTGTATACGTGTATACGTGTATATTCGTGCGTCGTTTTTGTGCGCGCATCGTTCGCGCATTTTCCCGTGCGTTGCGTCGTGAAAATATCACGAAGAAGACAACCCGCTCTTTCTCTCTTTCTCTCGCCCTTTATCTCGCAACGACTTTCCCCATTGTTACTCCACAGCCCGTTCGTACCCGTTTCCTTTTCTCTTAATTCGCATAGACGGTGCGCTCCGAGAATCTGCGCTCGGCCGGCCGGTGTTTCGCGGGCGAGCCCGAGAAGCCGAGGCGTACAAGGAAGCGTTAATGCTGTTTCGTCGAGCTGATAGAGAAAAATAAAAGCCGCTTGTGTTGGATATTAGCTCGTTCCTTCCGAAACGCCGGTTCGAGCTACGGGGGGAGCGGGGCAGGCGGGCTCGTTCGGTAGCGAAGCTAACGACGGGACGAGCGCGCAGTGCTGCGGCTGCCGAAGATTCGCAGCGGAATGCGAAAGCTCGCGCGAATGCACGCGCTTCCTCTCCATAAGGCCAGATTTTTCCCCGGCTGCCGGAAAATGTCGAACCCCGACCCCGCGCTGTGAACGACTCGAACCGACCGGGTACACGCCCGGCGCGAATAAAAGCTTCCCATCGCCGGAGCTAAACTCGTGCTTTTATTGCGCGACCGAGGTACCTCCGAATCTACAAATATTAGCGTGATCTCGGTTCTGCGGAATCTACGCACAGATTGAACGTGCGAAATCAACGAAATTCGAGACAATTAATGTCTGTTAAGCTGGCGCTCCGACGCGAAAATATTAAACGGGAGGTGCGACAGAATTGAGGGCCAATTTAGGACTGCGTCCTCGATTTCGGCTTGGTTCGGTTTCGAGCGGTCTCACGGGAATTCGCGTTTGTAAATGAGGATGTAGCGAATCAAGCACTCTATTACTTGAAAAAAAAAAACAATATAAACCAGAAAGTTTGTAGGGAAGACCGTGATTTATCGTCATACTTTCTAATTAAAGAAAACACGTGACACTTTTCGACATGAATCCTTTAAACAGAAAACTCCGAGTGAACGCAGCATTATTTAGCTTTAAGCAAATTGGACAACTGATCTCATAATCAGGATCGCTTATCGTACGTCTTTCATATACGAGATGTCTTAAAATAACTGCATGCGGGGTGAATTAGAAGATTCTTGATACTAAATAAAGCTATTTTTTATTTACCAAAAATTCGTTTAAATAATGGTCTTTAAATAAGAGCTGTATAACGTTGTTGAATTAGCTTACTAGGTTGTGCGTGAATCAGGAATGAAATCACGAAATATCACATTTATGTCATAATTTATGTAGGCTGCATTTTTCTCACTAAAGATATTTTATTACGCAACTGTGTACATCTGAATTTATCGTTATTTTGAATAAAATTTATTTATATAAATAATTTATATAAACGATGTTCCATTGGCCTTTTTCCGGGCCACAAATATTTTTAAACGGTTATAACAACACATCGTATAAAAATTATTTGTGTGTCGTTTAAGCATATTACTTTATTATTCGTAGTCGTTCTTTCAGTGACATCGGTAAGAAATTCTTTTATATCAAACAAATACTATTTGAATTTACCGTTATTTTGAATTAAACATATTTGACATGAAAGAATTTTTTGCCAATGCCACTGAAAGCACGACTGCAAATAAGCTTAATATGCTTAAACGTAATATGCTTAAACGACGATAAAACAATTTTTTATACGAAGTGTCGTTCCAACGTTTCAAAAATATTTATGATCCTGAAAAGCTAATATTATTTGTATGAATTATTTGTACAAATAAATTTGATTCAAAATAGTGATAAATTCAAACATTACGATTAGCTGCGTAATAAAATCTTTAGTATGATAGTAATCTTTAGTAGATAGAAATCTTTAGTATGAAAAAAAAACAGCCTACACGATTTAAGTGATATTTCGTTCCTACCTCACGCGTAATCTAGTATGCTAATTCGACAACTTTGAACAGCCCTCATTCAAAAACTGTCATTTGAACGGAATTTTGGTAAACAAAAAGTTGCTTTGTTTAGTACCAAATATTCCCCGGTGCACTCTACATGAAGTTATTTTGGAATATTCTATATAAAAGAAACAAAATATATAGTTTTTGTTTTAACATTGTGCGTGAATCAGGAACGAAATCACGAACGTGACAATTAATCCGTGTGTTTTCTAGCCTTGGTCTCTCTCTTACATTGCGATTTGGTGCTCTTTAGATGACTTTTTAAGAGCAACAAGCAAAATTCAAATGTTTACCTTAATATCTACCTTAGTTTAAAAGGTACGATTCAATCAAAAAGACTCTGTGCTCATCAGAGTAAAGTGTTCATCAGAATTAACACAACGAGTTACATCAGGGATTACAAAAAGGTTTCCCTTGATTAATATTATGTTACGTTAACATTAAATTTATATTATATTATGTATAATATATTGTATTATATTGTATTATATTATATTCTATATTATATTGTAATTAATTGTGTTATATTCGGCGTATGCTGGCACCTCCATTTTCAAACGTGTGTTCCTGCTAAACTGCTCGAACACTGAAATCAGAAATGCAGCACCAAAAAATTAGCACCAAAAGTCAGCACTTATATAATATAGACTTAATTCTAATATAATTGTCACTTCAATTTTTCAATCGGTCAATTCGAAGACCGCAACGAACGAGCCGAATAATTTTATAACGCTTCAAACAGGAAAGTAAATATTCAAAATATATAATCTCTCTTAATTGCCATTCTTTGTTAAAAATCCACCTGTAAAAAATCCAACGTGAAACTGAAGAGTCCCGAATAATTTTTTTGCAAAGCTTAAGGGGAAGTAATAATTATTAAATAAGAACCAGTCAATATGGGGATCCCCTTTAATAATGTATTTGTACATTAAATATGTAATTCCTACCATGGAGGAATGTCCGAGATACTCGCCGACACGCGGACATTTGGAAAAGCCGTCTCTCTCTCTCTCTCTCGATTGTTTTAAGCGATGCACCGTTAACATCGCGGATAAATCGCGATATGAGAGAGGACGGTCGGTTCTAATTTCCGAACGTGCTCGAGAGGTCAACGAGCTACTTATTCCTCCCGGGCCAATACAAGAATCGCCGGGATGTATCGATCCCCCGGCATTTCTATCGCGCCAAGAACGATCCATCTCCCCTCGTGACGTAGCCGCGGGCACATCCATCAGTATCGGGCTATAACTGACCGAAAGAAGGATTAGACTGGAACACTCTTGCCACGGTATTACCACACACAGGCCGGTTCCCCTAATTGTGCCCGGCTGTTGTTTGGAAATGAGCACGGCTCGCATTAATTTGCGCACCGAGAGTTGTTTCTCAGGGCTCGATCGTGAGGGACCGCGGGCTAAGTCGGTGGGGGGAGATAGCGGAAAAAGCGCGAAGAAGAAGGCCGATATCGTCCCGCCGTTTGTTTACTAAGACAGCATTTCATTGACCTTTAATTGATCCGTAAACCTATTTTCCCGAATTTTCACAGCACATTGATCGAAACGCGATCCACACGTACGCGTGCACGCACGGAGGAGAATAAATAATTGATTCAACAGCGTCAGCGCGATTGAAATAAATGTTCTTGATTCGGCGGCAATATTATTATTGATGCCAATACGCCATGCTGTTGCTTTAATTACTTTAGTATTTGCGTCAACGGTGCAGCAGTTTTGAAAGAACTTCGTTGAATCAATCGTATATCTAGTTACTTCGACCAAATAATTATATACTTATCTGAGTAACGTATAAAGTTAATAGTTTGTTAATATATTACATAGCGGGACAGAAAGACACTTTTTTTTCTCTCCGATGTGCGACAGTACGTTTTCGCACGAAGATTTTTTCGCGACCGAACACCAATGCCATACGGTTTCCTCCGTCACTTTCGCTTTCCTCTCCCCCTCTCGCGCCACTTTTCTTCCTTCTCTTACGGTAGAATTTCATCGAGATATTTCGGCGTTTGCGTTTCGGGCCGACGACGTCGCGAAACTTTTATTCCGGGCGGAACGACTTCCGCCACCGGCTAATACTTAAACGGCAACTCGCGTTGTCTAACAACTTTGGTATTTCCTTTTTTGTTGTAGATTCGAAGATGAATTGGCCACTGGTGCTGACTTGCTTTTTGCTGCCGCAGTCGTGCATTCTCGGCGCATCGCGTGCAGGTAAGCCATTTTATCGAAAACTGCCGACGACTAAACCGGAGTATCACCGATTGTACAGCCGGCGCGCGATAAGAAGAACGCGCGCGGCTGTGTGCGTATCACGATATCATGCTGAAACATATATAAATTTAGATACGCTCGCTAACTCGAACGTTTGCGAGAAAAATTAACCGTGCAAATATTTGTCACCGACCGTGCACGATCTCGTGCTGCTCTCTGTGATTTCGCGCTCATTCTCGACGATCTGCGATTCGCGACGAGCGATTAATCAGATGAAAATTCTATCGATAGTTTTACCCGCGTACACGCGAAGCGGAATCGGAATTACATACACGGCACATCGGTGGACGCGTACATACGCGCTCCAATTTTACACGCCGAAGGTGTAAATCTGTCGTGATGCGACAGATTGATTTAAAACGGCAAACGTGCTCGGAAGTAGCCGTGGGAACTTTAACGAAACATGCGCGATCTGTCACACGTGTGTGTTACACACGTCGCAATGATATCGTAATGTCCCTAAGGATATTACGTTATCCTTACAAATGCGCGCCCTCGAATTTCCTTCTTTGTTGCCGCGAATTCTCGATCGGCCGGTGGTGAATTATTCGCCCGCGATTCCGAAACGCAAAGTATTTCCGTACCGGAAAACAGTACGTACAGTGATTAGCGGAATGCAAGAAATAACTCCGTTTTTCAGCGCGTGTACACGCGCGAATGGAATGTACTGCGAGGCACGAGCGGAATCGCGAATCATTTCACGGCGAACAATACCATTACCGCTATTTGTTGCACGACCGCGACTACCGTTACTTTACTCACTGTTATGCAACGAGCTGTAAAAGCCGTCCTCTCAAACCAGAAAAACCCTCGAATTGGGTCGTCTCTCCCCCTGCCCCTCGCCGACGAGAGAGCGCGGTAGTCGGCGGGCCACGAGAGAGGGAGCGGAAAATCCTTAATCCACCCCGGTCGCCGGAATCTGGCGTGAACCCGTGCGAAAACAACGTCGAGGGGCGGATTATGATGATCGTGGAAACAAGGCGAGAGCAAGCGTGTATCCCGCGGAATGGACGGCTGCTTTTCAGACGTATTGCACACCGGAGCGTGACCCACAACCGCCAGTCTTCTCGCCCTCCTCCTGAAGTGCGCCGGCAGACAAATTAGTCCTCTTTCACCCTCGTTCGAGCCGGTGAGCTAAGAGGCTCTGCGCCGATGGAGCTTATTTCTCCGCTAAGCTCCTGCGATTCGGTAACAGATCGTCTTATGATGACGACCGGGATTCTCGGTTACCGCGCCCGGGAATAGCGCGCGCATGAAAGGCTTCTGCGAAAGTACGATCGATTCGAATAATCGCTGCGTTACTCTCATCAAGGGACGTCTCTCTTCGAATTCGCAAAATTTTCCGGTCTCCTCTTTTAACGAGAGCGTAATGCGATTAGATTCGAGGCTCTTTCCCATCGAACATAATTCTTTATCATGCGGGCATGATCGCGCCGATCCCTCCGGTCTCTCTTTGAGACGGCCGGCACGTGTAGCCGCATCCGTGCTGCGGTGAGCTCGCTACCCTATTCGAAAGTTGTCCAGCAGCGTTCAACTTGTTTGGCCCTGCCGAGGCAAATCTCCCTGCCGTCCTACCCCTCCCTCTTTCTCTCTCTCTCTCTCATCCGGTTCGCGAAGGAAGAGCGGACACAATCTCCTGAGTTCGCCGCGACTGGCGACCACGGGCCGGCGAACTTCGATTTCGAGTACACAAGAGACACCGGGTATGCGTCTCCCGGTCCGGGATCCAGGTCAAAGTGCATTTTCTCGGTCGCGCTCTGACGGTAGCGAACGAACCGCACGCGCGCGCGATCGCCGGAACTTGCCGACGGACTTTCCCCCTTTCGACTTAATTGGCGGCTTTAGAGTATCGGCGAGCAGACGCACCGGGGACGTCTTTGACTTTCCTTTCAGCGACCGGAAAGTCCGAAACTCGCCCGACGACGTTCAACGACGCGAGACAATGTCGCGAGGATCGCGACGAGTAACGATGCGCAGAGACGTCCGTGCGGAGACGCTATCGAAAGCGTCCCGAGTCGAAATTCTATATTAGTGCTATATTAATTTCTATATGTTATTATCTTCGGTGTTGAGAAAGTTGGAAATAATTTTGTCAGCGCTGAATGCGGAGAATCGATCGCGATTTCGAACGTCTCTCGAAAGGAGGGAAACCGAAACGACAAGAAAATGATTCGACTATAAACTTGTGTCCCTATCACGATGAAGTCGATATTCTTAATATTTCGATTTTTCGAAGATACCCGAAGATGAAAGGAAAACTGATAAAACAGGTCGATTTTTCTCCCTTAAGGTGGCGCCAGTTTATAAAAGAATTATTTTTATTGTCCATCGTGATAGTCACAAGTTTATAGCTCAATAACTTTTTCGCCACTTCGTTTTCAAAAGCCTAGAACGTCCGGAATCGTGACAATGCAAGCAAAACTTTCGATCAACGCTACACAAAATGATTTGTAATTTTATCAATATTAAAGATAATGATGTGTAGGAACTTTTGTAATTAAAACATAGACAAATATTTGCACAGGACAGTCCAGAATTGTATGTCTCATGATTTGTTCAAACAAATTTCTGAAAGTCACACATGAAACGACGTTTCAAACGAGAATGTCCCTTTAAGTGAGTCAAAAAAGCGGCAAAATTTCGACTCGGAAGGAACGTTGATTTATCTTTCGCGGGAGGAAGCTGGTCGTGGACGCGATCGGTCTCAGCGATTTTCCCATTTATTTGAGGTATCGCCGATCTCGTGGCTCGTGGAGACGCGAAACGCCGATAAAGTCGCGTCATTCGTTCTTTGTCACGGTAAGCCACTTCTTTCGAGTTCTTGAATTCGGAAACTAACTTAATTGGCGGCTTCGAGACGCTCGTGGGCCGTCTTTGTGGATTGAAGTGGCGCGGAACCACGACGCGCTCAGAGAGGGTCGGGCGACTAAGAAACTCGAAACTTGTTAATGGCGTGGGTGTTATGGGACAATGGCGTAAAGACCGCCAGAGATTACGCCGGGACTATGAGACTTTGTGTTTGATGCAAATGGTGACCAATTAAATTGTTAAAGGAACACGTTTTTCCCTCGTCGTGAATCGAGTGTGCCGAGTGTACGGGATATTTTAATTACCGTCGAATTGTATGCGAGGCACTTCACGTGCTTGCGGATTCCTCAACTGACACGAAGGAGACCTTCCTTTCACAGAAATCCCATTACAGTTTTGGTTCTACACGAAGAGAATTAGTATCAATTCAAGACTCATAGTCTCACATATGTAAGCAAGAATATATACTCTTACATGAAGATGACGACTTGCTTACATTATAGAAATTTTGTATAGTCCTACTGAAAATATATTCTTGTTATTCAAAAGTAATTTTTCATGAAGGAATTTATTGAGAGGAAAAACATTTGACATACTGGAAGAACGATATATTCAAGTTGATACAATTCTTAGTATGAACATTTTTTTTTCCGTGTAGGATAGCTTCAATAAGAACTTTTCAGAAATTAGAGAACGTCTCTCAGATCCCATCAAGTTAACAATCCTGAGCGCAACGACTGTCAGTTCTACGGCTTAAAGGACGAGCAAGAGAGGCGAAGGAAAGAAAATAGGCATTCGAAGAAGGTAGAAATTCTCTAATTTCAAAGTGGCCGACTTATCGACTACCCCTCTCACACCTAGAATTTCACACAGCTGCGGTTCATCGTCAAATTCGGCATCCGGCGGTCGGCCGGCGAGCAAAGTTGCGAAGGGCGCGCCCAGGCCGATTCGTCAGTGTCGATGGCCGCGCGTTTATCGCGTCGCCGATAAATTACCGAGGACAGCCAGATATAAACGTTACGGTCCATTAACCGGAAACTCCCCGCGTAACGTTAATTTCAACGCGAGCGTCCGCCGCCCGTTGTACGCGGAAATGGAAATGCAGTTTTATTACAAAGGTACAAAACCACCTCGCCAGGGACAAGAAACGAATTCAGCGCGCTTCGCTCCGGGCGCTCACCCCTTCGTCCCCTTTCTCACGACCGGCCGGTAAACGCGCATTTTTCTCGTCGTAAAATTAACTCTCTTTTCCTCTCTCTCTCCTCCCTCCCACCCTGTCTACCTTCCTCTCTCACCCTTGCTCCTCCTCTCCGTCCTGCTCTTCCGCTGTCCCGATGAAAAAGGTTATTCGTATCGTAGGGGCAGGGGGGCACGCGCACCCTTTCCCGCCGCAGATTACTTCAAAGCAAATATTCTCCGCGCGTTCAAAGGAATTACAAGGATATAACTAAATCCGTCGAATTTTTGCGTCGCGGTTTTAAAGCAAGATTGCCGCGCGAGCACACACACACACACACGCCCCAAACGACGAGAACGTGCGTTGTGCCAGGAGCAAACGGAAAAAAAGGGGGGAAGCGGAAGAGGAGGCGAACTTAATGCGTTATTGTCCGTTGGCCACGTGTGAATCCCCCGCAATCTGCGTGATAATCAGAATTATAGTATCGGTTTTCTCGTGGGTGCGTGAAGATTGAGATTCCCACGCGCCGCACGGCCACCGAGATGTGTCCGAAAAATTGGCAATCGTTTAAAAATCACTGTACGGGCGGACCGTACTTTTTCTTTCGTCTCTCTTTTCGCCGCGCGTATTTCCGCGTTTCCGTGCGATTTTCCATTCGGGGAACGAAGTCGAGCGGCGCTAATGACGTGTCTTACCTGTCCGCGAGTAACGCTCGCACGTTCGTCCGGATGGGCCGATCCTCCGAACCACGGGGTTCTGGCCGAAATTACGGTGAAACCCGGGGGACGAAATAACAGCGGCCGAATAGTCGGGAATGACACCTGTGGCCGAATGATTTTATCCGCTAACGGCGGAGAAGGGATCGCGGATCGTATTTACCTCCGGTCCGCATCGGCTTAATGCCGCGTTGATATTCGAAATAATAGCGAGTCCCTGACATAAACGCGGTCTCCGT